CTTTTCCATAGGTATTACTATGGAAAAGCTTACGGAAACACAAAATAGTATGAATTTCAAAATGTCCTTTACGTATTATCAGGCCTCATATGTGTTTAAATAATAATGTGGATAATTTTAAATATTCTAAGTTTACATTTCACACCAAGCTAAGCATCGTATTTATAATATTGTTATTTAAGTTTGAGCAATCGTCGTATTATTTTAATGTCGAGTAATAAAACCTATTTTTGAATATTTCATAATTTTTATTTATTCATAATTTCAAAATAAAATACTAAAATAAAAAGCTTTATGACGCTTAATAAGTTACAATGTAATTTGGTAATAATTATATATTAAATATACAGAAATAATATGTAAATAGCATTTGACAAAATATTAAAACAATAAGCATAACAATAAATGAGACAGTCTAGACAGGAAATCTAGAAAATATATTACACATTTATAACTTATAAATTATAAAGCATATTATAAATGCCACCCATGGCACCTTATGGTATCTATGCGAACAATATTTAAATATTTCAAAACTTGAATATTTAAATTGATGTGCACAAATCAAAACTATAACCACACTGTTTACTTCATAAATGTAGGTAAACATTATTGAATTATTCATAAGGTAAGATTCATTAAGGTAAAATTCATAGTATTTTAGAATATTAAATTTATTTTTTGGTTTATAATATTAAAATATAATTTTTACAGTAAAGTGTTTTCAAAAGTAAATAACAATTACTACATCAACATATATTTTAGCCAACATTTTATTATTAATTAATTCGTACATTAAATATTTTGTATTTTAATGACAACCTTTCCAATATTGCGACCCTGATGCAAGTGCTTTACGAATACAAACAATTAGATAATATTAGTTTTTTGGTAATTAAATTAACCTTGCACATCACATACCTCAACCCCTCTGACCACTGACTCTATGCCCACGAACTCCCCTTCACTCCTGTTTTGTCCCAAATCTAACACAACTCGCAGTTTGTTATTCACAACGTCTCCAATCAATTGCCGCACATATTTGCCACATAAAGCCTTGTGATCTGTTAAATTAAACCCTGATAATATCCTAGAGCCTCTTAAAAGCTTAATAATTAAATAAATATATATTAATAATTGATAAATGTATCAAATATATAAATCAACAAGCTAAAACCAACTTTCATGTTAAGGTTGTCAATGGTAGGTGATGTTAAATGTCCACTAATAGAGCCCACAATTAATAGTCTACCCTTCGGTGCCAAATGATTGAACAGAGTTTCGTATACCTGTCCACCAATTGTCTCCCAAATCACGTCCACGCCATGCTATGTATAATAAATTTTAATTTTAATTTTTAGCAAAAATTTTATATAATATTAAGTGTTTTTTAAAACCGGAAACTCTTTAGTGAGCACTTCATCCAAGTTCTCGGTCTTATAATCGATCACTCGATCGGTTCCCAACTCTGTCAAGAGTTTGGCCTTTTCTGGCGATGATGTCAACCCAATAACATAAGCGCCCTTTCGTTTAGCCCATTGGACGCCTATATGACCCGTTCCTCCCGCGGAGGCTGTGATCAACACTTTATCCCCTTTTTGAATGCGACCCAACTTTTCGGGTTAATTATTGGTATATAAGTGACATGTCTGGACACAATTGAAGCGCTAATGCATACCTCATCCAATCCAATGGTTGCCGTTAAGCCCGACACTAGTAATCCAAGAAACTTTGGGTTCAGACTCGGGACTGGTATCACATCCTCCGGTTGGACATACTTTTTCATGAATTCATAAAAATTAAATTTAATATATGAGTGACCGAGGTCACGAGTGCCTTATCTCGAATAAAAATACAAACTGTATTATAAAGTGTTTAAACTTAAAACATATGATGTTCAAACAGTTTACAATTAATTAGCCTATCAGGCATAATCTAGTATTTAAATTGTGAGATAGGTCACTTGTGAACTCCACCACTCATATGTGTCTTTAAAACATAAAGCAAGGACAATTATCTCTATGAGTAATATAAGATTAAGCTTTATTAAACCAAATACACAAAGTGTCATATAAATCTTAATATTATATTACTCATAGTAATAACTTATTACTATTAATTGTCGCTGTTTTATATTATAAGATGACATATAATATGAAAATATATGAATGTTATATCCTGGTACATCCGATAATTACTAACCAAATACTCTGCGTAAGCAAATTCTTTGGTATGGTTGGCACCAAATGCAATGACATACTGTCCCACTGTATGTGTGGTCACATTCTTGCCAACTGCCTCGATAACACCAAGAGCCTTTTATAATAATTATATGAAATTATAAGTTTGCGATAAAAACAATATACTGATCGCATGGACACCTACTTCTAGTCCCACATCGAAAGGCAACTCAGCGTTTGGGTTGAATAAGCCGGCAGTCGTGCCGACATCGGCGGCGTTCACACCGGCGTAGATATTCCTGATGAGCACCTGGTCATCGCCCGGTGCTACCAGTGGGACGGACACCACTTTAACAGCTTCGCGAAAATTGGATGTCTTTTTAAAGACAGATAACTTTTTGAATGTTTTAGACATTTTGATAGCTATGTTAACAATAATAATAATAATTGAAAATAAGTGTCAAATGTGTTGTGTTTATATAGCTTTGAGTTGCGATACACAATGCGCTTATAAATTGCTGTGTCCTTCACTCTACACATACACTATATTGTGTAATACCTTGATAAATGTTTGTATCTGTTACTACATTATATTTGCCCTAAACTAAGCTTAGTTCATTGCACTAAAATTGCACTAGTTCATTAAAAATATATTCGTTTATTTAACTATCAATTGCATTAGCGACTTTTATTTTGCCCTAAGCATATTTCCTGACTAAATCAATGAAGAAACCAAATATATTTTTAAATAAGTGGTCAGACCACGAGGTCTAGAGGTCACCAGTTTATTTTAAAATTAACTAAACCTTTAAAAGTATTTCATTTAAGAAATTTTAAAAAGGTTTCAATAATTCACATATTTTTAAAAGTATTCTAGTCAACCATTATTTAATAGTTATAATCATAATGTTTATGTATTTATTAATGTTATACGGCTTAAACTGTCCCAATCATACACGCAGTAACATAATCACCAAGTTACTAATCTCCTCGAAAATCAATATAATATTTAGCATATGATTATCATGTGAGCAAATATCATTTTACTTATATCAGTGGCTAGAATGCTATTTAAATTTGCATTTTTTCAATAAAAATTAAAACATGATAACTGAATACAAAATATACATAAGATATAGTGTTTTAAATTTTATAGGAAAAACACACATTCAAATAGGATTCTAGCTACTGATATATAGTTATAAGTTATTATAGTTATATAAACATAATAAGATTCTCATAAGTTTTATATATTCATTACAGTATTATAAATTTCTAAATATTAAATTTCCTAAATGGATTGACAAAATGAAATGCAAAATAATTTTTGATCATTAGTCTAGCATAATGCTCTTAGTATATCATTCAGTAAACATCAAAATTAATTAAAAAATAATAAAACTTTTTCTAGGAAATTTGAATTTATAGCTAAAAATAGTATATAAATGAGATTACTACTGTATATTGATTTTGATTGCAAAACTATTTTTCTGTATAATTCATAATACTAAACGTACAATATTAAACTTGCTGCTTAATAAATTAAATATAAAAAGTATATTAAATAAAACCTTTAGCTAAAATTTATTTTATGTATTATTAAATAAATCTTAAGACATTTCTTATTAACAAGTAAGAATAAATTATTAAAAACCTTATTAGTAAATCATTAGCAAATGTTAAATTAAATAAGTAATTTTTATGAACTTTAATAATTAACTGTTTTTCATATACCATATTCAATATAATGTTAAAATGATAATTTATAAATTATTGTGACTACCTTTGTTAACTTACCGTATATCTTACATTTTTATAAAAAGTAAAATATATTGAAAATGTTTGTGTATTTATTAATGTTATGGGGTTTTAATTGTCCCAACCGTACACTCAATTATATTATCACCGGGTTCATAATTTCTACAAATATCGGTATCACACTTCACGTATTATTATCATTTGGACAAATATCATGCTATTTTGACATATGTTTTAAAGTTTTAAGTTTATTTCTATTTGTAACAGTATTCATATCATACATATACGTGAAGTTTAATTCACAAATTATACTTGAAATCAACGATCAATTGACAGAATATTGTCATAAATATAATGTTAAAATCACAAATATTTTATATTACATGTACATTGTATTTCATATAATATTTTACTTAATTAGTTATTATGCGCCTAAGGGGAGTGACATAGTTGACAACTTGATTAACATTGACAAATTCATAGACATTAAATTTCAACACCATGCACCAATTACCACTTTTTACATGGCTGGATGGATAAACATGATCATGTTAATATACCTGGAGTTATCAATAAAATATATTAACATACTACGGGCTATGCTGGATAAAATGAACATGCTAAGACATTCCCCACCCAGACATTTATATATATTGATTATATATATATTTATATGAAATAACACAATCTATTAATAAATTTTGTAATGAAAAACTAATGTCTAAATATTTGCGCATTTTATTATGCTTCACCATGCTAATATTGTTTTCACTTTTAAGTGGGTTTATCATGCTATCTGCAACATATGTATATTCATTAAATTATAAACTTATTGTAACATTAATTATCGGAGTAACTTTGTCAAGCTTAAATATATATATATTAATTTACATTCGTCAAAAAATAAATAATATTGTTTACTTAATAATTGACAAGTTAAATGAATGGAAGCATAATATTGTAATTTAGACTTTTGCAATAAGGTTTAAGACGTAAATCATGTTGCATGTTACTGATAAAATTGTAACACTATCATAAAAATCTATGATATACAATTATTTAAATTTATCTTATTGAGTAACATTATATAAATCAATAAATTATAAATGATATCTTTAAGTGTATTTCTCATTTTATTTAATGAATTAGTTTATTGTATTAATTTATTTAAAAATATAATATTATACTAAATATTGATATTAATTTAACCTATTTTAAATATTTAAAACCCAAACGTATTAAAAATTTAAAAATTATTTGTATGCACTCTAAATCACTATCCAATCAACCTGGCTAAATCAATTGGGAGACCAAATATATTTTTAAATAAGTGGCCAGACCACGAGGTCTCATCGCCCAAAGTGACCACAATCATATTTGATCAGTATAACTTTACTCGTTCTGCCGAAGTAACCAAAAATATAAAGTCAAACTAAAGACGGTTACCGGGAAATAGCCATAATCTGGTTGGATTTTAATTCAATTGTATCTGGGGGGCTTAGCGACATTCAACATCAGTTCGACCATTATCTGAGTAAATAATCCTGATGCTGTTTTTAGTAAATTCAAATTAGAAAATCTTTGAGAGAATTTAACCTGAGTACAGCTATTTTTAATGTTTGGAAAGTATTGACAGTAAGTTTTAATGCTCCGTAGGTAGGTGCGCAACAAAGGTCAATCAAATAATTACAAATCAATTTATGTTCAAAATATTATAGAGAATAAAAATAAGATATCTAAGATAATTTTACTTGATTATATTTCAAGTATTAATTAAATATAAAGTTCTCATAGAAAAGCATTAGATTACTATAAAACTTGTACCTTTTAAATTAACGAATTGAATTTAATGTTAAAACTTTCCAAACATTAAAAATTCCTTTACTCAAGTTATATTATCCCAACGATTTTCTAATTTGAATTTAATAAAAACAGTATCAGGATTATTAACTCAGATAATGAGACAATTTTTTAAAAATTAAAAAAAAATTATATTCAATGTTTATTTGAATCGAATGTTATTCATTTAAATTACATTTCAATTAGTTGCATTTCATATCACATTATATAGCATATTTATTTATTTAACATCGATCAATATGTAGATTTTATAATGTTGTGATAGTAATCCCTTTATTCCACAAGAGTTCTATAAAGGGGATCACAGTATTGTGTATGTTGTCTGTGTAGGTGTTGTATGTGTTTAGTATCGACCTTTGCTGTCAGTCGATACCCCCTTCTTGTGCAGGGAAATCCGGATTCTCTTATCCATGAGCCATCAGGGCTATAGACTCATGTATCACTGATCAGCCAGCAAACTGCAACCCGTAGTATAGAAGGGTTAGAAAAAACGCCTGTAATCCGAGTCCGGGGATCGAATCCGAGCGCCTCAGTCAAGCTAGCGCTGCGCTTAGCCAACTGAGCTACGAGCCCAGCCCGGCTCGGCCCGGCTCCAGCTCGGCAACAATGAGACAATTGATCCACTATTCAATAAATCTTGAGCGCGTGCTTACTCCTAGTCTAACAATGCATTTTAAAAATCCCGGATTTTTAGTTATAACCCCTTAAATACATTGGATGTTGACAATTTCATAATCACGCAAATAAGCCATAAATATTAATTTTTGGATTTTATCATTTTACATCTACACATATAGCTGCATAATTTATTTTATTAGTCTAGTCGCACAGTTAGGCCTAATTAAGCATATAATACAACACACTATACATATATTTTTAAAATTTATATATTTTATATTATTTTAATATTACATTCAGCAAAATAACCTCATCATCAATATTGTATAAACAATTATTGAGTAAGTATAATTTTAATCTAATTATTTTATATTCATTTATTAATTTCTAAAATTAGTTTGAATTAGGATTAAAATAATATATTATTTAAGGACTGTAATTATAATCATTTATTAAACATTTTAAAATATACAATTTAAATTAAGTTTTGCATATAAAATGACTAAATTATTACCTAAACAAAATATTTGCGTATCAAAATTAGATTATTTATAAACAACTTAACTGCTTATAAAAATATAAATTATCTTGGTAGTAAGTTTGAGACATTTTTAAAGGACTTATCATGATAAGCACCAATGTATTTTATTTTATATAAGTTTTCTCAGAGTGATATAGGACATTGAAAGAAAGACAAATATGAAAATAATTTTAATATTATAAGTAAGGTTGTAGAATAATTTTAGTTTATATAAACAACATATACATTTATTATTATAAAACGGCTTTGAATTAATTGAATTTTTTTCACAATTTTATAATGCTTTAAGAGCTTAACAATATACGATACTTTAAATATTATAATTATTTTAATTTGGTCGACTTTTCTTGAAAAAACTTTTATTTTTAAAATTTTTGCTAAAAACATAAACATAAATGACAAATTAATGATACTGAACATAAAGATATTGTATATTAAATGCTACAGAATTAATTCATATCAGTTTTTTAGTGTTTTTTTTATATTATATTTATCTTATTGTTTAAATTATTTTATATAACTCACTATTTCATAATAAATTTATTATATGTAGTATCTGATTTATTATTATGTTATGAATATTCAAAGTTTACACGAAACTTGAATAATTCAATGTTATTATGAATTGCTTGTAAAATGTTTATATTATGTATATATTGCAATTGATACTTAAATACAAGGTTTATTATGCATTCCTACCTAACCCTAATGAATAAATATAACATTATACAACTCTCTGACTCTAATTATTAGACAAATGCTAATTATTTTTAAATAAATATTTTTTAGTGGTCAACTCGTAGCTTATATTATTATCACTTTAATACATAGAAATCAAATTTAAATTTAACATTATTAATAAGATTCATACCAATTCATATTCATAATTAATTCATGCTCATTTGTCAGTCTAAAATTATAAAAGAGGTTTTATATAGTATTCATTGGAAAAACATTTACCAAACATTTTGTGAATGTTTATTTTATAAAATGAATGAAACTTTACTTTTCGCTCAATTTATTAATACGTTTATTCAGTTATTTTTGATGTCCATTTATTACTGGCCATTACGGCCAATCTTATCAAATTAAGTTCCTCTGACATTTATATCATATTTCAGCAAGGTAATAACTGTCACCATAGATAGTTTGAAAAAAATCGGCGAGTCTGAGTTGGAAACATCGAGGGACAAATATAAATTAAGTCCCTATGATTGTCATCAATAGTTAGTCGGTATCATGTTTAACATTTTGAACTGACTAAACTTGGCGAATCAAATAAATTAACTTGTTAAATTCATTTTTAATCATCGCTGAAGTGCTCATTTTGTCATTTAAATAACATGAGTTCTATGGATTGTACAAAACATGAATGTAAACAGGTTTATGCCGTTAAATATGATATAATTCCAAAAATGATAACCGATATATAAGCACAAAATCCTATTTTAACATTTTATACAATTTAATCTTATTATATTTTAATGATAAAATGAGGGTGTCAGTAATGGTTAAACGTGAATTCAACAAGCTAATATATTATATTCGCCAAGTTTAGTCAATTCAAAATGTTAATTATGTTACCGGCCAACTATTGATGACAATCAAAAGCACTCAATTTATATTTGTCCCTCGATGTTTCCAACTAAGCGTAAACTAATAGAATGTAAGTTAGTATTTTACAGCCAAAACGTTTAGCATGGCCCAATCAACGTCAAAAACCGTGATAATGACCCAGGATGAAATCAACGAATTCTATGATAACGAGGTAAAGGACGAGGCGAGAAAGGCGCTTAAAAGTGACAATCCCTTTTGGAACGGGGTCGAGTGGTTCATAAACTGGTTGCGCACGTTTGTCAAGGACTTTTTCAAGAAGCACTTGTCCAAGTTGCCAATTGTGGGCCACTGGGCGAGTAGGATTGCATCGACCATTTCGGAGTTCATGTTCACGGTGCTGGGCACCATGACACATTTTCTCAAGGTGGTCCTGTCGTCGAGGCAGGTATGGGAGCGCGCGCACGAGTCGGCGATGCGAACATGGTCATCTAACGAGTCGAACGGGTTGCTTGCTCAAACATATGCCTACGGCAAAAAGATGGCCGCCTACTTTCTGGAGATCATCAAGCAATGTCTGGAGCGAGCCATTGTGGCTCACGGGCTACAGGTGTCGGATACTGAGAAAAATGACATTTCCACCATGCTCGACGATATGATGAAATAGGTAGCTTTTGATGTATCAATTTAATTTATGCGTAAGCATAATATTTAGATAATTAATACTTTTAAGTATTAATTTCTTATAAAACCGCTTATAAAAAATCAGCTACTAAAAATAATTTGTTAACTAAATTGAAGTATTTTTATTATAATAGTTAAATAAAAATTTTACGTTAATTACTAATAATTATAATCTATTTATATAATTATATGCATAACTTAACCGATATTATATTTTTTACTTGATTGTAATGTTATAATTTTAATATGACAATTACTGATAAGATATGTTTAATTATGGTTTATAGTTTATTTATAGTAATTTTAATTTTTTTTAAATTAATTTTACAATTAATAATAGAACAAAAATAAAATAATAATTAATTGTGCATTCTATTGTTCAGACATTTGTAAACACAACTTAAATACGCAAGTCAGTTTAATGCCACTCATATTAATAGCTATTTATACGAATGGATAGGACCCACATATTTCAACCAGTTACTCGTAGGGTAATTGGATTATGATCTCTATCCATTTGTTGCATAATTAGACTGTCCCTGACATTATCCATCAATTGCTCGGACACTAGAAAATAGTCAAACCTCCAGCCGTTATGCCAATTACCATAACTACACGTCGTATAGCAATCACTCTCATCCGGGTATAAGTGTCTATACGTGTCGACAAACCCAGCTGACAGTAATCGAGTAAAATCATGCCTTTCCCGTGGACTACATCCCGGTGTTGTCGGTTTGTTCAGCCACTGCGAGCAATCCAGGTCTTTGTGGGCGACGTTAAAATCGCCGCAAATTATGACTGCCTTTTGGCCGTCCAAAAGGTGCACGTATTTCCGGAAGTGTCGGTTCCATTGGTGACGTTCATCTAGTTTTTCCAGATGTTGGCCCGCATTCAAAGCGTATACACTGACCTAGGTATTTTGGGTGATATATTAGCAATGAGATTTGTGTTTAAATATATATCTTTTTAATGTAACCTAGATCGCAAAACACACTGAGTCTCACAAAAAAACTTTAATTTTATTTTAACATGTTAGCAATATTTACAAAATAAGATTAAAGCTTTTTGCAAAACTCATTTTGTAATGCTTTCCCAGACAAATTATTATGTGTAGCATGGTATCTATAGATATCAGTGGCTCACAAATGTGATATAGATAGATCGTATACGATAACGTTAGTAGATGTTAAGTATGTAGATTTTTTTGTGTTGTTTTTCAAAATAATTTATTAGTAGAGTAACCAAGGTCAAAAACTTGAGACACTTAAAAGTTAACAAAAAAACTATTTGATCCTAATTTTTAGTTAAGTTTAAATTCCATTTATTTTAGTTTACTTGCTAACAGTGGTATTCATAGTGTCGACTTAAGTCTTAGCTGAGTCTCACATTTTAAGTAATTGCTCAATGAGTTTATGAAACGCATTTAATCTGAGCTGCACCTTAAAACAACGTCTAAATCTTAAAAATTTAAGTCTCATACCGATCAAACTTATCCCTGTAAGTAGGCTTCCCCTATGAAAGTGTATGGGCCCACATCGGACTGAATTTAAGATATTGTTAAAATAAAGAGTTAAGATGGTTTT